ATAATTGTGATTGGCATTTCTTTGGCGGTCTGAGAATTCTCCACCAATAGTTTTAATCAGTGACGTCAGATGTCACCCCGTACCGTATCGACCTTTCATTCGTGCGCGGGCCTAAATGCGATACCCTATTCCAGTACCCATGATATAACTGAAGAAGGACATGAGAAGGACTATACTAACTTAAATTTCTCTCTACAGAACTCATGTACACCACAAGTACTCAATGACATAAGAACAGCCAATGTTCACAACCGACCTATTTAATCCATACAATAGGAATATCTTTAAAACCAAAGAGAATAGAATATATATTAGAGGGGAATTTACTAGAAAAAAGTGTAAAACGGCCATTTTGTAGTACTGTTTCCATACTGCAGATGTACTTCACATTTTTGCGCTATATAAACTTTTGGGCCCTGGAATATCATTTTATAGAAAATCTAAAATTATTATTAAAAGACACCAAACTATGAAATAGGCAGGTTTATAATTGACCAATGAACATTTCACATAGACTCTATGCCTTTTACTTTACAAACGATGAATCAAATGAAGTTTTTTATTCCCCTAATCCATTATAAAGTTTATTTAACAGTTTAAAAAATTCGAAATTGAAATGGATAGTCTAGGGAAGATACTGTATTGTACTCTACTGCATATAATTTGTGAACATTTACATGATTTGTACACTTTGAACTCCCTTTCAGACTGAAAGGGACTGAAAAAATTCCTAACGAGAGATTCTCTAAATTCTCCTCTAATATATATTCTATTCTCTTTGTTTAAAACATCTCTGTACATTTATATCTTTCAAGATGAAAAATTTCGTCTTATGCGCAATCTATCTTTATCTATGATTTCATCCAAATATTCATTAAATACAGGGCAGATTCCATGATATACTTTGAGATAAAATATAAGTATTTATGATTTTACTTTTATCGTTATTTTTTCTTAACAAATGTTCAAACAATAGCATACATTTTCATTTGTTGAACTGTAATTTACTATACTATAATGTACTGTAAGTGTAATGTACTGCAAGGTTGTTTGTTTACCTCCGGAGTAAGCTGTGGTATTAACTGTCTAGGAATCAGGAAGGTTGAGAGGTTGAACAAATCCAGGAAAACTTTATACCTGGAAAATTATATCTTGATAAAAAAAGTTGAAGAAATTTATATCTGAATATCAGATTTGTGGATCAATTTGATCATTTTTTGGTCTCACTTTGTAAAACCAAATTGATTGTTTGATAAATTGATTGTTTGTTTGATTAATAACCTTTCTGAGAGTGTAGATCGAAGATACTGATATCCAGAAGATCCGCCTGTACCGATCTGCGCACTGCCGAGCATCCGTTGAACCAGGATCACGTGATTATCTACAAAACCGGTTTTTAATAGTTTGGCGCATTTGTATTTTCAGCCTGTACTAGAAAAAATGGAATGATCGTCATCTTTGTGTTTTCTTTTTCTGATGAAATTATTGTATTGTATTGTAATTTATTATCATCCCTTTTCCTGAAAATTTCTTAAAGGGACTGTAAAAGAAAAATGAAAGGGGATACAGGCTGAAAGCTAATCACTTTAGCTCTTGATCGGGACCCATGAAAGTTTTATCTGATGTTCCTGTCTCGAGAAATTGATATAAAACTGTGTTAAAATTATACGAAAGTTCATATATGTAAAATTTAGAAAATCTTAAACTTAAATCACGTGACCAGAACTATCACCAATGGCAGAGNGAAACAATGCTTAGAAGGTAATTATTTGGACTGTATGTGTGCCTTTTAAGTATCTTATACTTATGCCTGATATCCAAGAAGCCAAGTGTTATGAATTTACAGTTCGAATTTTGCCCCCCCCTAGGAGCTCCTAGGGGGGGGCAAAAAAATTTTTTGCGCTTCGCGCAAATCTTGCCCCCCCCTACATTTATTTCTGTATACGCCCTTGCCTATACCCCCTTTCATTATTCCTTTACAGTCCCTTAAGTCCATTTTTACAAATTAGGTTGAAAAGGAATCAGCGAAATGAGATATCCAAAGAAAAAAAGACGAGAATATTTCCGCGATTTGCTGGTTACTCTTATATCTAACTATAACATTTATATACAGTGATAGCCAGAAATCTCTGAAAAAGAAGGACGACTTATAGAATAAATTTATAACTTTAAAAAGTCCAATGAGCATGAAACACAGCAATTGTGAAGTGTAAACAGACCCATTTCACTAAATTAGTGATTTAGTAAGTGTCTACTAAAACTATTTGCATTGTAACAGCATAAAGTATACGAAAGTATTGCTATAATGTCGTCTTCCTATTCCATTGTTTTCTGGTTATCACTGTATTTTGCAGCTAAAAATTTGAAAGGCCAATACCACAATACCACATGTTTGTTGATAGGTGTTTTACAATTTGATTAAAAACTTACATCTCCACTTGGTGATAAGAGAGTCGATATCCATCAATGATTGAAGGATCTGTGACGGCTGATGGAAGCGGGGCTCTTCCCTTTACAAACAGAAAAATTATATTTTTTTTCTTATATTGTTCGAATAACTTTAAAATGCGATGTCAAGCCTTTAATCTTTTTCAAAAATAGATGATCAATTAGAATAGAACGCTGCACTTTGAATACTGAGAATAAAGTTGATTTGACCTTAAATATTTTCAAGAAAGAAATACAAGAAACTTTTGAAAACCTCAACATAGAAACCTTATTTTGATACTTTTATGAAATATTATTTTATTTTCCAACCTGTACAAAGAAATCATAAGAGCACCCTGCAGGGCCATGTAGCTGAATCTTCGTTCACCCCTGAACAAAAAGAATCATTAAATATTTCGTAAATGTTATGTAAAAGTATTTATAGATGAAGGGTCTTCCAAAAAACATGGGAATTAAGAGACGAATTCGAAATCGTCTTTGTTAAGAGTTTAAATCTAGTTACATCTGTTAGAGTATATATTACGTAAACGGCGAAGATAGTTTTGTTATTCTGCATTAAACGTTGCATAATGCAAGATAAACTGTATAGTCTATATCAAGGAGAATTGAATACAAGGAGGGGGCGATAAGGTTTCCGTACACTTTGCTGTGACGTTTTTGGACTGCTGGAGAACTAGATTTTGCGTAACAACAATAACAAAGGCAGCCGGTCTAACGTAAACAAACATGAGTTAGTATACGGCGAATCTTCAGACTTCATCTATCGCCAGAGATGCGCCAGATGTCTGTTTATCGTTTGTGTTATTGTTTACAATCTTTATTATTGTTGTTACGCAAAAACTAGTTCTCCAGCAGTCCAAAAACGTCACAGCAAAGTGTACGGAAACCCTATTGCCCCCTCCTTGTATTCAATTCTCCTTGGTATATACTGTGTTTGTTACCGGGATTTTTTCATTTTACTAAGTACAAGTATACGTACTGTATACAATCAAAACATAAACAGACAAATTCTGGACTCTAGCAGACGAAATATCTACGGAATACAGCTTTCATAGTAGGCATTACCATACTAAATCAAAAATATTCTATACAGACGATATCAAAATCGTCACTATAAATTTCCATGTTTATTGTGACACCCTGAACGTAATATGTTTATTATATCATTCAACTCTATGCTAGAATGTGAAGGCAAGGCCCGGCACGTTACCCAAATACTAGTTATTTTGATTATCAAAATGTATAAAAAAATTTCGATTTTCGTTTATTTTTACTTGACAAATTATCAGTTAATTCCCATTAAAAAAATAACTTTTACATGTAAATCCAATAATCGAAAAATCAAAAAGCAAAAAAGCACATGTTGGCTTCTCCCATGGCCAGCATTTTAAACAGAGCTTTCAAATGTTTATTAATTTTCTTCAGATAATATGATTAGTTTATAAAATGTTCTTCTGAGTCTTCTATTATCGGCTATAAAATCATTCGCATAAACATGAAAATTAGAGCCTTTTCAGAAAAAATTTATAAATAATTTTTAAAAATTTTGCCTCTCTTTCAAAAACCCATAAAGATATATTCTGATGAAAATTATGGATTTGTTAATCATGACTTCAAGATAATTTACAGACGTTTTGTATAGTTATAGCCAATTTTTTGCTTTTGTATTTTTCTTCCAAAATGTAAGATTTAGTTCGTTCTCAAATGTGAACTAACCAATATTTGGTCAAGTAACAAAATACAATGATCAAATTATTGTACTATTTGATAAATCCTAAAAACCTGATACTTGAGTAGTTCGGGGGTATAGAAACCGGATTTGCTAAACACTATAGACTATATGTCACGTGGGAGGGGATCCCCGGCCGCAATGAGCCTCCAAGATTTTTTATGCAGCACCGAGCCTCCGCCATGCAGTATAAATCTCATACTAAAACTTCAAAAGTTTTTACGCGAAAAGGAAAATATTAAGGAAATAAATTATAAAGTGAATTTGAATAGATTTGTAAAAACTGAAATTTAAATTTTTGAAAAATTATTTAATTATGTTCAGATAAATCTTGCAAAAGTAGTGCTTTGAAGAATTTAAAAAAATCAACAATAAAGGTATTTCTTAAATCAAAAATTTTGACAAATCAAAGCTAATTAATTTAAGAATGTTGCTTAATATCTTCCTTCGCGTAAAAACTTTATTAGTATGAAATGTATACTATAGCGGAGGCTCGGTGCTGCATAGCTAAATGGGAGGCTCATATATTGCGGCCGGAGGTTCCCTCACTCCCTTATTTCATCTGTGAGGAATTTAAATAAGTTTTTAATACCATCTCTACAATTGAAAAATTTAGCTCACAAAAAGAAACTAGTTTTAGTTCAAGGCTGAACATTTGCATAAATTTTTAAAAGTATAAATAAATCTATCCTCGNAATGCTTCCTTGTGTCATGTGGGGTACCATAAAAAATTGGACTGAATCGTTTCAGGCGTTTTGCCTTTCATTCATTCCTATCCTATGTCGGCCTATTTTAACGATGAGCGTGCGGCGAGACTTTTTCAGTAGCCTATTTTACCCAACCCATTAGCTTAGTTTAGTGTGCAGCCTTGTTACAGTCTTATTAGCCCTTTACCTGGTTACAAGTGAATTATGCTTTTCTGAGTCAAAAATAGAATCATAGAGCTCTTTCTTCTTCCTGTAGTTCAACAAGAGGGCCTGGAAAAAGGAAAACGGTAGATATTGGGCTAATACGAGAAAGGAGATAGGTAAAGGTAGGGCAAAAAAGATTGGAAGTGGGTAGAAATAGAGATAACAAGAAAGGAAAGGTGTTTAAATAGGGCTAACAAGAAAGGCAAGGTGTTAAAGTAGGGCTAACAAGAAAGGAAAGGGGTAAAAGTAGGGATAAAAAGAAAGAGAATTTGTATATTTAAAACAAAAAAAGGAAAGAGGTAGAAAAAGGATTAACAAGAAAGGAACTAGGTAGAAGTAGAGCTATCAAGAAAAGAAATCGGTAGAAGTAGACATATCAAGAAAAGAAAGAGGTAGAAGTATAGGACCTTTAAGAAAAGAGGTAGA